AAGCTTCTGACGCACGAGTACGAGTAATGTGGACGGGCCTTAAGAATACCCCACATTTCTCTTATAAGGATCAGTCGGGTTTAGAGTTCTAAATTTTCTTGGTATTTATGTGACTATTTAAACCTATATAACCGATAATTGGATGTAAAGTTGTGAACAGGACTTAATTTATTCATGTTAGAGTCTACTAATGATGTTATGTGAATGAGGTGATGAACCAGTGCTTGTACGCATGGAGAAATCTGAAGGGGTGGTAGTACTGGGGCGACCTAAGCATGGAAGAAGAATAATATTAAAATAGATCTTAAAGGAATAGGATGTGGACTAGGTTTATCTGGCTCAGGATATGGTTCTTGTGAACACGGCTTTGAACTACGAGGTTCGCCTTTCATAGGGAGGTAGCTGTTCTGAAAAAGGTTCAGAGAACATTTGTTTGTTCTGTCACTGACCCAAGCACAGCTGAGCGAATATCAGCTTATTAAGAGTGATTATGTTCCATGGAGTTAGTTCAGTGACGAACTTGGGCTCCATTATAACACGTTTCTTTTTCCTGGTTCTGTGTAACTACGTATTTAAGTGCTGAAGGGAGATAATGCACCTTGGAGTTAGTAGTTTCCAGCTGTATCTTGTTTATTTCATGAAAATTGTCAGTGTACGAAGTGAGAGAAATTTGATTTAGTTTTGTAGCTCATGGGCTTTACTTACTGTGTCTGCTGATTATGTTATTAACTGCTCTTTCCTTAAGCGTCATGGCGTACAGGAAACACACGAAGATGATGCTGCCAAGATACAGATACAAGTAGAATCCCTGAAACATTCAGAAATTTTACGTCAGTGTTTTTGTACTTGTGGAATAGTGTTACAGAAATAGGAGCGGTTCGTACACTTTCACTTTACCATCGTCATCTCGGATATTTTTTCGTATTTATTTATTATAGGCTGACCGCCTCTGTGGTATAGTGGTCAGAGTTCCTGCCTACATATCTAGAGGTCCGGGTTCGATTCCCATAGCTACCAGATTTTCCGAGAAATGGTGAGTCTGGAACGGGGTCCACTCAGCCTCATGAGGGTAACTGAGGATCTGCTTGAATGGAAAAGTAGCGGCTCCGGTCTAGAAAACCGAGATTAGCGGCCGTGGGGATTCGTGTTGCGCTGACCACGCGACACCCTCTATCCGCTAAAGTTGACACTAACTTCGCCGACAAGCGGCGTTCGCTCGGTCGGCATAGTTCGCTTACGGACTAAAACCACGGAGTTAAAATTGATTTATTATAGGTTCATTGAACTGCAAATTTAATCATTATGATTAGGCTTATATCCTGTCGAACGATATATAGTTAGTCAATAATGAACGGGAAGGGATGTGGATAGAAACGGTGATGGCATAATTTAAAGTGCTCTGGGATTTTCTTGGATAAACCAGGAAAAGAACGAAAAACATCTAGCTGAGATTTTAACAAGAAAGCTCCCGAACGCGAGGCTGAAATTCTAACTGCTAGACGGCAACATTTTTCTGGAAATCTTTGTGTTAAGTATGTACTCGTGTAGATATTCTTGGAGTTTGAATACCAAAAGGTGGAAGACAAAGCACATAACTTATATTCATCTTGTTATTTGCTAAATATACTTGTTCCATATTTTTATATGTTCTTTTCATGAAGTAGTCTACACATTGTCGTCATATTTAATTCTATCGTTAGTTTTCATTATTCTTAGGTTATAGGTTGCCTTATATCCCCAGGGCATAAGGGCTCTATATACATGATTAATCTGAGTGAAATCACAATAGAAACCGTAAATTCTACCTTTTCTACTCAGCTATACGTGGTCAAGCATTGTATTCTTGTTTTTTCGATTCCACAAAATGTGGAACTAAAACCATTAAGAATTACGGAGGCGATAACATGAATACAGAACGCAGACGAGGTATCTGACTGCCTGCCCGCATATTTCATATACACCTACAAAACAAATTTTAGCGAAATTTTAACTTATTTTTAATCCTATCAGAACAAACTCACTTGTAAGTAAACAACTGAAGGCACAACAGTTTTAGCGAAGAAATCAGTTCTTATTCACAGAGAATACACGCTACATGTTTCGGTCATATATGCCCGTTATCACGTGTTTAAAATATTACGATATTTCAACGTGCGTTATTGGACTGCTTGTTACAGTGGATCCATTACAGATAGTCTCGTCTTACACAACATTTTCAAGATTACAATATTATACAATTTATTGAATTGAGTATTAGATTACGTAAGTACATAATTTATTTTCATTATTATAGTTATTATTTAAAATTAGAAGTTAAAATTTAAACATAGCCTACTTTGTATAAGGGTTCCTTTATGGAAAAGGGATAGGGCGAATGGGATGGGAAGGTGGTGTTTGTTCAATATTACCGTGTTTAGGGTGTGTTATAGTATGTGAGGACGTGGTTGTTTTTGTATGATTATCCTCGTATTGTCACGTAGTATGTATCANAAGGAGAAAGCTCTAGATCGCATTAAGTGGAGGAATTGTTTTGAAAGAGACTGTGGACCTGTCGTCTTGACAGATTACAGATGATGATGATGATGCTGAAATGCTTTCCTTGAGTTTTTTGGTTCACTTTGTTGTTTCCTGGTTTTTGTATTTAAGTCGTTGGCTATTTTATTGTCCTCTATGGAAGAGTTTTCCGTGATTTTTTGACTGATGTTGTTTTCCGGTTTCCTTGTTGTGTCGTGGTGTTGTGTTCATGGTGCGTGCTTGTGAAGGGACTTGTGAAAAGAAACGATGATGTGTCCCTCATATTTAAATATAGTTCAGTTCGGTCCACATTTTAAAGAATTCGTGTCGTAATTCATTGCCAGATACTTTAAAGCGATTTATAACGTAGAACGTATTGAATACCATAAAATAGGGACTTCATAGAGATTCCTAAATTTATTTTAAATACTTTTCGATGTGTTTATAATTTGAAGATGTACAAGGGGAAAATAACATAATTATATGCGTCTGCAGTGTCTGGAGGATGAGTGAATTTAAAAAGCAGCGAACTTGATATGCATCGAGATACACCTATGTTTGTGTTTAGGTTCTCATGTAAAATGATTATCCATGTTGTTCAGTTCGCGCTGAGATTCAAAGTGATGGTTTATATTTAAGTAATATATTTAATGCTAACCATCTAGTTCCGCGGTTAAGAATGGTGGAACTAGCTTTCCACCCCATATGTCATGATGGCGTAGTGCCTAATTAATTAAACCCAGAGATAAATTCGCCATACTTAATGGTACTGAGCTGGGAATAGCTCAGCCTTGTCTAATGATTAGGCTACGAACTGGATGACCAAAGAATCGAGGTCCATTTTCCAGAATCCACATCGGTTCTGGAGTTCACCCATCTCCTCTCCACTGAGTACCGGAGGCAAATCAACCGAGGCATGAAGTTGTAATTCCATTCCCTCATAGCAACTTTACGTTTTATCTTCTCTCACATTATTACTATCCTTGCTCACAATGTGTGGTTATTAACACACTAAATTTGCTGCGGTATTTTGAGTTCAGATGCGCTCATACACGTTTAACAGTGGTTAACACAGTGGGATAATACGTGTGATCTTTCCCATGCCTGTTTTGTTATTTCACTAACCCGTGATGCTGTGTTTCTTTATGTTTGCTACAATCTGTGCGTTTTCAGATCAGCCATTGTTAATCGTAATATTCTGTATTTCTCAGTCGTGTAATCAGTAGGCCTTCCATAAATGTTGGTAACGTGTTTGTTTGTCTCCATGTTCTGTAAAGCACAATAAATTAAACACTATAATGATTAACTTAACGATATATGAAGGACAAATATAATAATTACGAACATAGACTACAGTAATAGCTTTTAGTGCTTTGTTATACATTTATTGGCTGTCATGTGTAAGAAGTTGAGGAACGCTGTGTTCCGGGCACACAGACGGACGAAAGTCTGACTCCTTGTCACGAAGTCTGATACTGTACCTGGTAGAGTGATCCTGGAACTTGGGGTGCAAGACCTTCTGTCACAGGGAACACCGTTCCAAGGACAACCAGCAGTTTGGCGTACAGAGCCGATAATGCGATAATTAGTGTGTTCCTGCGAATAAGAAACAGAATTAGAAGATGTAGCTAACAGTTTGAGGACTACCCTGAAAATGCACATATTCCTGTTCTCTCAAACTCCTTGTGTGAGTAATTAGCTGATCGCAAAGCGCCTACCCTTCCAAGACAACCAGAGTACAAATCGAATTCGTGATCCCAATGGAAGAACGATCCAAACCTAGGCATGGCTGACCACGCCGCACGTGACGCCAATACAGTTTACTAAGGGAGAAATTGTACAGAAATAATCTGAAACTGATTTGTGGCTCTTCTGGTCTTTATATCTGTTCACAGGTGTGCTGTTTTATATTAGCTTAAAAACAAAACCTATTTAATTGCATGAAGCTGAGCCCTTCTTGAGAAGCCGAAGGTTCGTTGCCTTGTTCACAAGTGTCCTCCACTGGTCCCTGTCCTGAGACATCGGTCCAGTCCGTACCATCCCATTTTTCTAAGATCCATTTTAATGTTGCCCACCCATCTACGTCTTGATTTTCCTAGCGGACTCTTTCCTTCTGGTTTTCGCACCAATATCTCATATGCATTCCTCCTCGCCCCCATTCGTGCTAGATGCCTTGCCTATCTCATCTTCCTTCACTTGATCATTCTATTTATATTTGGCGAAGAGTACAAGTTATGAAGCTCCTCATTGTGCAGTTTTCTCCAATCTCCTGTCACTTCATCCCTCTTCTGTCCAAATATTCTCCTCAGCACCCTGTTCTCAAACACCCTCAGTCTTTGTTCCTCCCTTATTATCAGAGACCAATTTTCACACCCATACAGAGCGTATTCAGTTTTATTTTGTCTGTTCATTCTCTTCTATCCTCTTCCATTTTCCTTTAGTCTATCCTGTTATAATTCTGTTATTGTATTATATTCTCGTGCAACTTATTATATTTTATTTCATTTCGTCTTATTCTATTCTGTATTAATATTTTAAGTTATGTTGTCTGTACTATATTATCTTCTATGCTATTCTGTTCTGTCCTCTTCCATTCCTTTTCGTTTTATTCACTTCTAGTCCGATAAAATGGAAACCTCGTAGCGCGGGATGCAGGACAATGGGACATGAGTAACCTCTTGCAGACTGTCCAATACTCTAGAAGCTCATAGCATAGCTTCAGATGCTACTTACTCCGTCACACTGCGGGCTCGTTTCGTCACGATCACTGCCTGTTCCTCGTCGCTCCTGTCAGGGATAACGACACGGTTCGCCGTCTGCTCCACCAGTCTGTGGAGAAGAGCAGATGTGTAATTAAAATCGGGGCGCGCCATAGCTCAAGCGGTTACTCGCTGGCTTCCAACCGCGGCGGCCCGGGTTCGATCCCGGGTCTGGTCAAGTGGGATTTGTGGTGGACAAAGTGGCGCTGGGGCAGGTTTTCTCCGAGTACTTCGGTTTCCCCTGCCAATCTTCATTCCACCAATTTCTCCAGAATTACCCTCACCTATCAACCGGGGCCGGTACAATAGGCCAGAAGTGGCCGCAGTACAAGTGACTTAGTCCCACCCCACTACGAATAAAGAAAAAAACATACGTTCCCTACAGGACATGCATTGAATTCGTGCATAATAGGGAGGTTTACTCCATCTTTTATTTCCAAAACTACTGAAAGGGTTTCAATAAAGTGCCATATTAGGAGTCCAGAATAAAAGCTATTGGCCGAACTTAATCTTAGTTCGTATCGATTAGGTATAATCAATAATTCACATGAAGCTCAAATAGAAATTTCTCGATCTTGTAAAAAAGACGCATCAAAGTAACGTTCGGTGTTTAACATAAAAGTGTTCACCTCATTTGAACACGTCATATTTATGTGAAACACTTTCTGTTATGTTGAACGAAATGTAACAGCAAACAATATATTCCTTTACTACTAAATGCCTTTGTTAGTAGCACAATTATGCCGCCCTGCGTTGGAAATTTCGGGCATAAGATTTCAATAGAACATATATAGACTCTACTATCCTAATTGAATGGACATAAATATTACATAGGAATGAAAATTCGTAAACAACGCATTTGGGGAACTGGGTTTAAGGTCCGGTGGCGGGGTTTTTTGAACATGATAATGCACCTTCATAGTCCATAAAGGGCGACAATTTTCTTGACCAGCTAAGTGACCGTTAGATTCTGAAGCGGGGTTCAAATCCGTGGAGATACTTAATAAATTATAGCTCAGGGAGAAAGATCAGCTTATGTTGTTCTCTCTGGGAAAATGAAATACACGTATTAAATGCGCCAACAGTTCCGTTGTACATTAGAATTAAAGTATATGTACCAGTCTTGATACTGACCCCACAACGAGGAGTTGTTGGTTATTAACGGATACAACGGCAGAGAGTCTCCTTTCCGTTGTTTGCACAGGAATAACCGCCATGTCTTGGTCTTCGATCAGAGGGACAGCAACTTGGGTCTCCTCGTGTTCAGCCATACTGAGGAACCTGAAGTCAGCACTGTCGGCATTAGCACGCTGTACAGACATATCTGTAGAGTGCTTGAAAGGGTAAACTCATACATATTTTACTAAAACGATCTCTTCGACTTCTACATTACTCGTTGACCTCGATGCTGGTCCGTTGCATATACAGATTAATTGTTATAAAGACAGTGAACATCTTAGACATTATAATGTACATAGTCTTTTCCCTTTTCCAGAAATATAATCACAGTGGAGAATACATAAAATTATAGTTTTTCCAAACAAATCTTATGTAAATTTTTCTTCTCCTTGCGAGCTACATTTCCCTCCCTCCTCTATCCTCCTTAATTTGATCGTTATAATAATATTTGACGAGGAGTACAAATTACGAAGCTACTTGTATTGCAATATTCTCCAGCATTCTGTTGCTTCCTCCTCTTATGTCCAAATGTTTTTCTCAACAACTTGTTCTCAAACGCTCTAACTTTATCATCTTCCCTTAATTTGAATACAAGATTTCATACACCTACAAAACAAGAGGCAGAATTATAGTTATGTATATTTTAAATTTACACTTTTATATAGCAGACGGGATTCTTCGAACTCAAGTCTCTTCGTACCGCAAGGACATCTGACAGACAAATATCTGCATTTAGTAGAGGATATTGGAAAATGTGGAAGTCAGTGGAGAACTCACTTTGGAAAGTGGAGGATAGCGAACTCTCCAAGAGATCTCGGGAAAGAGAAATGTTGGGGGACCTGAAATCACTACTGAGACTTGAAACTGGCTCTAGAGGCCTCAATGCTGACAGTACAGGAGAAGATGGTTTTCATTTAAGGGTAGAAGGCTCACGCATGCGCACAACTATAGTTGCACCGCTTTAGGACTGGAATAAGTTTGGATGTAATTCCAATAACATTATGTTGATAACGAGTTCCAAGACAATGGATGACTTAGTACTTATCATGTTGATGTGCATAATTGTAGCAGAGGACAGACGGATACACTGACAGGCATGATTAACTAATTAAACACTACGCAATGAAGACGTATGGAGAAGTGGATGCTTAGATCTACGCATTCTTGACCTAGGAGCTAGTGGGAGATGAGAGCTTCACGCTCCGGTCGTTTCATCTCCGGAGAAAGAGTCTCTGATACCCATTGGATATGAGGCTGGGTGGGCCCGAGAGTCTGTCTAAGTTATGAGGATCTCACAGCGGTGTGTGTGAAGGGTTCTGTCCTTAGGATGTCCTGCTTGCTACCTGCTTCATGTTGGTTTCTTGTTCGCTTACTCTTCAACCCTGAAGATGGAGACTAGAGACTCCTCCGAAAAATGGGGTCACTTTCACCGAACTACACAGCCTTATATCCCACATGAGAGGACTCTTCAATTTTTTTATTATCGCATATTAATTTCTGAGTGTAATTAAAGAATATATTACTTTTGTTCTCAGGTGTTACGATTTAACACTGAAATTTTGAACATGTCATATTAAAAAAATTAGAATGACGCGAACAGTAGATCTGTAGAGGAATGGTGTGGATTAATTGTAATAGGGAATTATGTTGGTTTTGTCATTATTCATATGTCTGAACTTGATTGTAATCTGTTTCACAAGAATCTTCATGTCTTCATCTCTGAGTGTACTTTATCCTAAGTGTTTTAAAGTAGGCGCAGATTAACTTGTTAGCAAATATTACGTTAATCACTCTCAAGATTAACTTCTGTTAGCTAATGTGATGAGATCTGTTTTGCGAACGTGTTAGATTTATTTGTTCGTGAGAATGAAATCAAGTCCCTTAATTGGTGAGAGAAGCAAATATTTATAACTGTGGAATTTGCAATTACTAAAAAGTGATAGTATGTTTGGAGCGACAAAGCATGTAGGATGTTAAAGCTAAGCTCGTTGATCACCAAGAATATTGAATGCATAAATATCTTCCACATCTAGGCACTTAGGACTCTGATTATCTGCTATGAATTATGAATCAATTTACATATTGTGACATGCAGAAACATTGACAAATTACAGCTGTGTAAAGAGGCGACAGTAAAATAGCTGTTGCTAGGGAACATCTCTGTTAACAATGTTGTTTTCTCGGCAACTACAGAACATGTAATAATAGAAGAGAGGTTTTCTGTGCAGTCCGTGTCGGGGCTATATAACGAGGACTATAGCAGTTCAGTTGTTGAGTCCAAATCGAATGTCTCAGGCAACTTCCGAGACGACCACTGGTGCATCTGACACATTTATTCAATCACTGGCTTCGGCTGTCCAATTTTCCAAAGCCTTGGAAGGAAGCAAAAGTTGTAACGTTACCGAAACCCGATAAGGGCGCAAAATTCCATCAAAATTTACGCCCGATTAGCCTCTGTTTACAACAGGCAAGCTATTCGATAAAGTTATTCTGAAAATAGTCTAAAGGCACATTGAAGAAAGAAGCCTGCTTAATGCAAGCAAGTTTAGTTTCCGTGCCCGTCACAGGATGACACTTCAATGTATGAGTCTTGCGGACCATGCCACTTTAAATTTCAACAATAACATGTCTATGGTTGCGGTTTTCTTGAATATTGTAAAAGCGTTTGATACAAAAAGCACATAAATTGTGGGAATTAAAATTTTCAATCAAGCTTCTTAATTCAGCAACGCTTCAGAACGAGGATTGGTACTGAACCGCCTAAAGCTGACTCCATCAGAAGTTAGTATAGGAAGTTTGTAAACGAAAAATATAACACTAAGGACGGTATCGCAGTAGGATGCCAACGGGAGGCCATGGCGCAGCTGCCACCATCTAGGCCAAACTCAATGTATTAATTTAATAGTCATATATCGCACCTGGCATCTGGCTGGCAGCGCTGCCAAGCAAGATGCCAAGTGCTAATGCTGCTGGCATCGCTCCCACGAAGGCAGAGGTCATATCAGCATCACACGACAGTCTGAGGCCAGTCCATTGACGTCCGTGCGCGTATATGTGCTTGTCTGTATCTCTATTTCCTTCAAACATGTCCAAATTTCTACACCGAAAGATTTATAATTGAAATTCAGTCTCGATCATCTGGCAGCTGGACGCCATGGCATCGCTGTTGGTGTCGCTGCCATGGCATCCTAGTGCGATTCCGCCCTAAGAGTAAAAGGACTGGCCGACACCTTCTTTGCGGAAGTTACTCTCACTGCCATGACATGCCTTAACATGTTAAAACAATGGCTGTGGCCCCAGTTAAGGCATGATTTCTCGCGCAACCCGTTTCCGACATGTTGGAGCACAACCTCATTTCCACTTGGCTGTTAGAGGTTTCTTGGGATAAAACCTTCCTGAGTTTTGGATAGGACGAGCAGGACACATTTCTGGGCCCCCGAGATCCCCGGACCTTATTCCATGCGATTTCAAAGACTAAGTATACAAACCTTCAATACTACAGTCTCCCTTCGGGAGCGAATTTCAGAGGCAATACCCAGCGTTGATGTGTCGCGTCATACATGGGCAAAATTCGAATATCGCGTTGGCGTTTGCAGAGTAAATATTGGAGCTCATATCGAACATCTCTAGATAAACTTTACGAGTTTCCATGCTGTTTTCAAAGTTTTGAAAATACGCAAATTTCGTGTCACCCAAATCATTTACAGTAGCCCTTGCATTGTAGTGAATATTAGAGGAAGTGTTACAAGATATATTAATTAGATTAAATCGTCTCGGTGTGGAACTTACCGGCTGGGTAAGAGAAATCTTAGAGAGAGAGAGGATGGGATGGTATGGATTTGATATATCTGGCTCGGGATAGGAACCAGTGGAGGGCTGTTGTGAACACGGTGATGAACCTTCGGGTTTCATAAAATGCTGGGAAATTCTTGAGTAGCTGCAGATTTGGCTTCTCCTCAAGAAGGGCTCAGCTCCATAAGTAAGTAAGTAAGGGTGTGGAAGGTGGAGACTAGTTTGGACTGACATAACAGAGTCCAGTTGCAGGCTGTTATGAACATGAAAATAAAATATCCATTTCCATACCATTCTGGAAATGTCTTGATCAGCAAAGTGGAAATCAGTTTTTCTTCAAGAAAGTTTCTATTTCATGCATTCAGTTAGTCAGATAATGACATAGATTCATGAGACCCATCCGTCAGTCCTGCAGTCTGATCTGGGAACAATTCGGTGGATTTCGATATTTTGCGTGTTGAAGTTCTTCACCAGAAGTTGTCTGAAGAATTTTATTTTGACCTGTAGGCCTGTCGGCCTAATGTAATCCCTACATTAGATAAGATTTAAATGGATCTTGTCTCCTCTCAAATGAAAGCTGATATTTATGCAAAACGCTGGTGCTTTATATATAATTAAAGTAAATACGTATACATGTATCTTAATATTCACTTTGGTATTATGTATGTTTTAAATGATTAACACGAAAAATTACTGCATTACTCTAGGCAATGTGTTTATTATTCTCAGTATGATTAGGTCTCAAAAAATAGATTCATGTCTGCAATAAGTAAAGGATCAGTTCCCAACAATTATCCAGAATCATGTGGAACACATTTCTTAATATAAGTTCAAGTACTTCTTTCCGTACTAGCATTATGACACTAAACGACACTTCTCAGGACTTACCCCTTTCTGACGAAACTTCTGCCTTTGTCTCTTCCACGAGTTGAACTGCACATGGAAATTCAAATTTACGACCTTAACACTTCAGCCTTGTGTCGTCATCATCACTGTCTAATTGTAGTAACAGCAACTGCAAACCGAGAGGCGATCAGGCCTGAAACGACTCAACGTAAAGCAATGTAGAGGCAGTCACAGACTATTGATGGCGTGGCAGCAGCTGTCTTTACATTTGGGCATTATGCTGCAGCTAACGTTTGTTAAAACCCGTTATTTGCCCTGATTTTGTTGCATGTTTTAATGGTTAGTTTGGAGTGCAGGATATAGGAAGTCAGGCTATATTTCGCTGATGATATCAGGGACTAAGACAGAGAGATTGCCATGGGCTCAAGAAGAGTGTACCCCGCTTGTGGAATAGAAATTATTAATAATTTCATAAGAGACTATTTTCGTCAATAAAAAGAAAAACTTTAAATCAAATATTGTCGTTGCCCAATTTCTCTTCTAGTTAGCTAATAATTTCTGTAGAGTGGAAATGGATATCACGTTGCTGCTACAAGGCGAGAAAATCGATTCTGGATTGTCTTCTCATGATCATTTTCCGTGAATTGTATACACTAATATTCAGAGGTAGTACATACTGCTCGTATAAGCTAGCTGATTGGAAAGTTTTTTCTTAAAAACTCTTTATTTCAATGTGTAGCATGCTGCATATTAGAGATTTCCGGCCGATCCGTTCCTCGGGTTGCGGATGGAGAAAGTGGCTTACACGTATGGAGGGAAGCAGCAAGTATATTGCATAATCAGTTGCAGATGGCTGGCAAGGGGTGGTCCTCCACCTTGGGCTTGGGCGTTGATCTAATCTCACCCTACCGTAAAGAAAGCTTGTAATGGAGCCTTACACCACACCTCGGACTTATATTGATTATTTGGAACATTCTAAGCAACGGAGAACGGACATGAGATTGGGAACGTGGAAGGAAAATTAGCGAGCAGAACTTAGAATTAGTGGGAGTACGGAAGTTCAGACAGGTAAGAGGGGCACTGAACCAGCAGGCGATGATATATTCTTTCTAGATATTGGAATGAAGTTCATAAATTATTGACAGGATTTTCGTAAATAATGTAATCGTGTCAGCAGTTAACAGGGTAGATTATTAGTGATAGGATATCTTATAGAATATTGAAAATTTTCTGATATGATATTATTGTTCTTAAAGTACGTGCTCAGCTGAGAATAAAATTGATGATACAAAAGGCGGCTTATATGTGGAACTAGAGCGTGTATTCATTCGGTCAAGTTCTTACGCACCACATAAAAATTCTTCTAGGAAAGTTCAGTGTCAAAGTATGTAGAGAAGTTATTCTCAACCCGACAGTTGGAAACAAGAGATTGCATGAAATTAGTTTTGCTGATTCAGTTAGAGTGCCGGTCACGGTAGCCGAGCGGTCTAAGGCATGCACTGTCTTCGCTCGCTCGGAAGCCGGGACCGTGGGTTCGAATCCCACTCAGGGCATGGATGTTTGTGTGCGTTTTTCTGTGTTTGTCTACAGGTAGAGGCCTTGCGACGAGCTGATCACTCGCCCAAGGAGTCCTACCGAATGTTTAAGATCTAGTAAACCGAAGTGAAACGGAGAGTTTCATGGAGGTAGGCCTAGGCCAAAATTTGGGCTGTAGCGCCACAGAAAAAAAACATTCAGTTAGAGTAGTAAACTATGCTATATCCAAGAATCTAATTGTGAAAAATATAGCTCTGTCACTTTGCTATATTCATAAATTCAAGTGCATCTCTCCTCATGAAAAGGCACAGACAGATTAATTACATAGTGACAGATAGGATACAAGATTCATGTAGATTTGATATGTCCGATTATACTGTGATACCAATCATTACATGCCCCTCGCAAGAGTTACGAGATATTTTCCGTGAGTAAACTAGCAACGTGAAAATCTGATATGGAGAGATTCAATCTCAAGAAGCTACACGAGGCGGAAGGCAAAGAACGGTATAGGCTTGATGTCTCAGTAGGGGCTAGCTAATTTGGGAAACTTAAATGATCATATGGACATCAGTAAAGCCTAAGAGTCTGTCAGATTTGGGTCTAGCTTATTACGAAATCAAGCAGTATAAGCCGTGCTTAGACGAAGGGTGTGCGAAATACGACTATGAGATAAAAGGAAACGAGCCAGATTTTATTGTTTAAAATATCCGAGTCGAACAAATTGAGATAATATAAAATATGTAAGACGTGAAGCTAGTGTACTTTTCGGGAACAAAACGAGAAAATATCCGAAACTAAAAACGTTTAGTAGACGGAAGAAAGAGTTCTCTTAGCTACTGGATGTATGTGGGGATAGTGTTGTTAGGTGGGAAGAAGTTCGTTGAGCAATTAGTACATACCTGAGCCTAGTCCTTTCTAGGTTGAGAGTGCTACTGAAAAGTTGAAAACTTATGAATCGTCAAGTATTGATGAAATTCCAACAGTATTAGTTCAAGTAGGCAGTGAAATATTACGTTTGAGATCCATAAATAGGTAAATTCTATTTTAAATGATAAAGAAATGCCTCACTCGCGGCGGGAATCTATTGTTATACCTATGCAACATTGTCATCAACATCATAAAATATTTTATGAAATACAAGTAATATTCTCTCAAGGTTAATTCCATGTGTAGATGAAATTATTTGGGAAAATCAATAGATATTTCTCTTTATAAGATTTTTTGCATTCATCATATACTGGAGAAAGAATGGGAACATGAAGCGACGACATATCAGTAATTTATGGATTTCAAAAAAGCCTATAACTGTCTTAAGGGGGGCAATACTGTACAACGTTTCCATGCAATTTGCAATGTCCATGGAACACCCTCAACCAAACAGGGAACACACAACACGAGACACGATATACACCGAGAGTAAGAGGAACGACTCCCAAAGTTGTGGAACTATGCGCGGTGTTAGAATTGGGACAGATAAGATAAATAATCTTAACAAATTTTTGGTGTATAAATATTTATTATATTGACGAACATTTTTAATTACTTTCTAAATTTTACAATGTCATAATGGCAAGCAATGAAACAGATTAACGTAAATGGAGCACCTGATGATGGCACTATAGTGCCGAAACATGTTGTGAAATAACAAGTGAAATTGAGTGCACTAAAAGACGGACACTGCATACATATCATGGACGAAAATTAGTGCAACAGGACGCTAAAATACAACATCCATGGAACTACTTGGGCCAAGTAAAATGTGTTCAAATTAAACCTATAACAAAAGCCATATAGGCAAACATTTGTCTGATGCGTTTCTGAAACAAAGCGATGCTTTATCTTTGTTGCTTTTGAACTCTGCGTTAGAATACACCACTAGGAAGGTCAAAGAATACCAGGTACGATTAAAATTTACTGAGATATTTCAACTTCTGGCTTGTAGACTATGCTTGCATGAATATACCACAGTGTGTCGCTGACATCAAAAGAGTGTTTTTTTCTCTCTTTTGTCTTGATTCCATATTTCTAACCACTTCTGTCTTCATGTCTTTCTCTGTACTTAAAACTCGTTCCTCTTACTCTACCCACATCTGTACAGTATCAATCCTTTCTCTATCTCTGCTTATAAGGACACAGTATTACGTCATTTGTTTTGATATAACATAATGAATTTTATTACGGATTATTCTATTAATATATAATATCCGCCTTCATTATAGGCTACGTTTCAAAATTATCATTAGAATCCTTATTGTTTTCTGCACCGGATATTTGATGTACCTTACATTTTGTCGCATAAAAGGCCTACACGACTTTGTATACTTTCATGCGTTTTATCGACCGTACTTTCGAACACTTACAATGCACATCGATGTCAGTCTATTTCCATGCCGAGTAGGTGTTGACGGACATATTAAACCAGGATGACAACTTCTTAGACGACACAGTTTGTAGAGTTGCCATTTTTCCTAAAATTTGGTCACCTCCTAAGAAAGTTATCTTGTTCTGAAGAGAGATTTACTGGCAGCTTCCAGAGATGTTGCTCCAGTTGTTATTATTATTGCCGTCGTCTGTGTGATTTTTTGATAGGGTTAGAAATGTGTGTTGAAATTATGGAACTTTACTACTTCAGCTAGGATTACGTATATACTGTATGTACCCCATTACATGTCATTGTGGATTATATACCAGAAATAGTTGCCCGTGACTCTCCGTTCCATAACCTAAAGGAACTTGAAAAACGAAAGAGAAGGACGATGTAGAAACAAATGGTTTCAATGCATCTTAGCAGCTGTTGGCGATTCCTCAAGCTGTTTGTGGGGTGCTTCCAGCATTGACATGAATAGTGAAACAAATGTGCAGGTCTTCGTGCGGCAGGGGATTAACCTCCCTTCCCTCTAAATACAGAATCTTAGTATTTGCATAGTTAGTGTTGATATGTTATGTAGCCCGATTCTTTTGCGGTATGCCCGCAGAATGCCTTGCCCTCCTGTTGAAAACGGGTTTCTATTTATTAGCATATTGTCAATAGAGTGAAAATTGTATGAACCCTTCATACTAAATGGTACAATTCTAAAACACTACGTTACTATACATTACATTAAGTATAAATATGTGCCGGCCTAAAGATAGAATGGCGCTAAAGCAATTGCCTAGCATACCATTTAACGGCACTAAATTCACATATGTTGTTATTCAGAATTGATTCTATTAATGTTAATAATTGAAGAATAAGAAAAACTTAGCAATCTCTGTATATCATTAAATTAAGGATATTAATATAACTTATTGTCAATTACATGTGTTACATTTCCTCTTCGTGATAAGATATGAACAAACAGGGAAATTTTTGTCTAATTAGTATGAAGGTTATACTTTTGGAAGTCAATAAGATTCTTATTACTGTGTGAACGCCTGACATTGAAGCAATACTGTGTGGCATTTCCTATGGAATCCTGCCACTTTCTAGGATGATATATCGTGAGAAAACTGAACTTCATTGTCGTATTGTTCTTAAA